TTACTATGACGACTTGTCAAGATAATCTATCTCGCCATGTCGACATGATATGTATATTATGTCGACTTGACAACATAAATTATCTTGACAAGTCGTCAAGTCGAATGGCACTTAGGTGCTTCCGTAGGAGATAGATCTGAGAAAAAAATTCAATTGTGGTGATCTCATTTCTATTTTTATAATGACGGTTCTAATCCCTCACCAAAATGAATAACCTTTTAAAAGTGGACCCATAATTTTACATACGGTGGCGTATAAGTGTCACGGCAAATAACATAACATCAAAGCAAATATTTTGAGCCACCACGGCAAATTTAAAACATCACGGCAAATTTAGTTTGGAAAAAATAATGGAAATTTCAGTTTGTAAAATATCACGGCAATTCAATTAGAAAAACCTCTCACAGCAATTAACGGAAACTAACGGCAGAAATAAGTTACTGCTGTGAAATTTATGTCCGAAAAGAGCGATGTTTTCGTCACTGTCTGCTTCCGTCCGATCTGAGCGTTCATATTCTGTTGAACATAGTTTTTAGTTGTAATTATACCACCTCAAATTTCATCTTTGAGCATTTTTTATCCACACCTACACAATCAGTTGAATAAACACATTTATAGCACATTAGCTTAATATTAATGTGACTATTTAGGCATACTAATGTTTCTTATAAGTGTTAAACTTACCACGAGATGTCAGTTGTCGAATAGTTATGTCATCGTCATGTGCAGGTTTAATGTCGTCACTTAACGCGTTCACAGTTGTACCAATTTGTGGATCGTATCCATCGAGGCCGCTAGGATTTCCGTCGGGGGCGCCCTCATACCGCAATATTGCAAGCTCATAAAGTTTCGAACATCCTTCCACACCGTTTACTCGTATCCAGTAGTTGTTGATGCTTTGTTTTGCATACAACACAAAATCATATCGTTCACCTGCGTAGATTATGAACGAGTCGGTTTCTTCTTTATCGATTTCTGCTCCATCGGATGCGATCATGGTTATCCTATGTTCATCTACAGATATTTTGAGTGCGCAGTTGGTTATTGCACCGTTGATGGTCCGAAACCTATATCGCTTGCCCTGTTTAACCGTAAACATTTCTCTCGGCGTGTTGGCTTCGCTGTTTCCTTTTGTTAGCGTTTTGTATATTCCTTTTCCGTTTATAAGAATAGAGTCGGCGCTATTACTACCAATACTATGGTGATATTTTGAAAATCTTTCAATTGTTAGTTCATGGAGCCAATCATTAACAAGTAATACGTGTTCATCATAGTCATAAAGTCGAGAATACGTATCTCCTGACTTGGGTTTTTTTACAATAAGGGGACCAAACAGACCATCTGCCCGTTGCATCCCTGCGTGGCTATGCCACCAATGGGTGCCTGGTGGATTGGCATTAAACGTATACAAAAATGATGATTGTGATGTAATAGGACACTGCGTTATCATAGAAACTCCGTCCATATAAGGCGCGTCTATTGCATGGAGACCGTGCCAATGCAGAGACAAACCTTCAGCATTATCAAGGTTATTGGTTACTTGTACTTCAATTGTGTCACCTTCACAAACCTTTCAAGAAGATCAACGAATGTAGAACATGTTAAATTAATACTTATGACTTTGGCTGTTAAAATGGTAATCATTAACATAACAGTTAGATAAATAATAATTCTAGTGCTCAAAAGGAACCATGGTGTTATAATCGTATCAAGCATTGTTGCCCTTCAACGAAAAGTTCCCTTAGGTATCAAATTAAATTGTTACAGCTTGAAAGCTCTCTCTTTGAAACATCGGGTTATGTAGTGTGAGCTACTCCTTTGCATTGTTTGGCAAGTGCAACAAAACCAATGCATTGTTCACAACCTTCGGAAGAAATTGACAAAATAGCTATACAGATGAATGGGTACTGTAGTTACAATTGGGTATCAAACAGCTGTGGCCCGTGTGTACTGCTTACATAACGACCACATACTAGCTGTTATTTTTAATGGGTTACCGTATTTAACTCCAAATGAGTTATTCTGTACCTAAAAATGGTGCTGCAGTAGCGTTTGGCGCAGCGTGTAAGTTGTTGGGCTTTCAATCGGAAGGTCGGGGTTCGAGACCGTTTAGATGTTCATGGTTTAAACGCTGCAACTGGTTTAAACGCCTTAAAAAACACAAATTAGTTTATATAGGCATAATTTTAATTATTGGTTTGACAATATTCTTAAAAAAATTATAAAAAAATTAAAAATTGGTTTAAAAAATATGGCCATCATTTCAACATTTTAATTCACCAACATTTAAACATTTCTTTGAAACATTATGAGCTATTCTGAAAAGTTTCACTTCGATTCATTGATAAGTTTTTAGAGATATTTAGGTCTTAGACCTTAGCACTTTAAATGACCCTAAAATTCACACTCAAATCTGGATTGTCACTAAAATGTAATATTTTCTTTCTTGTAACATGGTTAAATTTTCTGGAAAGTTTTGTTCAGTTCAGTCGATACGTTTTTGATATGTCTAGTCTTGACATTTCCCTTTAAATGGTCCTCATGTTACTCAGAATCGTCACCAAAATGTAATCATTTCTTTATTGGATCATGACAAACCATACTATAAGTCACATTGGTGGACTTTTGGAGATATTTAGGTCTGGGACGTTAGAATTTCAAATGACCGCACCTGAACCTAGATCGTTACCAACAATTGTTCCTTGTGTTTCATTCAGATCACTTGATCAGTTTTTGATATATCTGGTCGGGGACGTTTTTCTTTCAGTGGTCCTCCTATCTACACTCTACTCTGTTTGGTTACCAAAATAATAACATTTCTTCTCTGGGCCATGACAATTATATTATGGACCGTTATATTTAGATCCATTGATTTTTCATAACGCTTTTATGTGATAATGCGCTGTTTATTAACGAATTTGTAAAGTTTCTTTTTTGAGATATTTAGGTCTGAGACGTTAGAAATTTGATCACCGTCAAATTTACACCTTACAATGGACAAATTTGTCGCATCGGAGTTGCCACGCCCTCACACACGCCGTTAAGCACAGGAACACAGAGCTAAGAATATTGCACACGGTGGGCTAAAGTCGGGCGCTACGGATTGTCTGATACAGTAACTTTCTTATGGGTTTGCACGAAATTTGAAAGTAAATAAATTACTACTTTCCAATGATACTGATTCAAACCAATCACCTTCTCAAGTATTTTGAATTGAAAAAATGCATTCTGTTCCTTTTAGAATAGGAAATGGGCATGATTTGTGTATAGTTAGAAGAGGTCAGCTCACTAAATCAAGTGTCAGACATAAACCAGATGAGATTTCGACAGGGTTCGGTCGGTATAATATAATGTATTAAATACCCTATCTTGTAATATAAAACTCGACGTGATTGGTGTAGGTCCTAATTACGCACTTTTGCTACTAAAATAAGTGTATTTTTCAGAAACGGTCTTTCCCAAGAGTATGGTTCAAGCCTTCCAGGACACGTCTATTCGATAAGAGGGGAGAATGTTTAAATTCCTGATATTTTTAGAAAGAAAATGATCCCCACGGGAATCTTATAGCATTTAGAAGTGCGACTGCCTAGTAACAGTTCACTGTGTAGGTTTTAGGTGTGTGCATGAACTGTATTCATCCATTCAATAATGGAACATTACAGAACAGTCTCGCTCTAGTGATATGCATCACCTGGATCAACTTCTTAGCAGCGAAGGCAAAATGCGAAAAAACACCACAAAGTTTTCCATATATAGCTGGATCGTCACCAAAATGTAACAATTGATTTCTTGTAACTTGGTTAAGCTCTCCTGAAAGTTTTACTCAGATCAGGTGATCCGTTTTGAAAATCGGGTGTGGAGTGTTTACCTTTAAATACATTTTGTTGGTCCTCAAATCCAAACCCCACTCTGGATTGTCACTAAGTTGTACGCGACACATCTTTGGTAATTATAGTCTATGTTTGGCCAAAGTTTGGAAAACATCCAAGTGACCAAAGTGACGTCAGGGAGTCAAAGTTAAAGTCAAATTTATTCACTCAAACAAGGAAATTATAATGCTCGGTTACAGTATAAAAAACATTAAAATTGTTAAGAATTGATAAAAAGTTAGGTAACAACAATGACAAAATATGAATATCAAAAACTTTACAAATTCGTTAATAAACAGCGCATTATCATATAAAAGCGTTATGAAAAATAGAAACAATGAAGGTAAAACACAGGTAAAATTTAACAATTACAGTACTAGTTGCTTCACAATGAGAAACCTGTGTCAGAAAATGTAGGTTCCATTTCTAATCGGGTTCCTCGCTTAATTTTAAGAGACAATTATAATCGCCCGTCCTTAATTGCTGCCTGAATACGTGGGGCGATACCATTATTTTCTTCTATGTTCGAGGGTAAAAAAATCGAATTTCCGTGACCCTGACCTTGTCCTTCGATCTTTTCTTCTGAAAATTGAATAGTGTCTTTCTTTAATAATTATGTTCCATTCCACTAAATGTTATAATGATCCATTGGTTAGTTAAAGGTAATTAGGTTTCGCTCTAAATCTGTATGTGCTTCATTATATCTGCAAAGACTACACAACAACATTTGACCAAAACTGAAAATATTCTATACACTGACAATATGACGTACTGTTTATTAAAGGTTGTATACCCAATTCAAAAATTAAACACCTCATTTAAAACGACAAAAAACCGATGGAATTAAAAAATAGTTTTCATTGATTTACAGACGTTTCTACAAAAATAAAATCCTTAAACTTTGCCAGCCAATGAGTTATGCAAAAGCATACAGCATGTACGCTCACTGTCTGTAAATTGACAGTGATTTTTTTTTTCTCATAAAAATTGTTCATTGTAAAATTGTGAGTTAACAACTGTGAAAGAAGTACTTGTAATTTGTCTCCAAGAATTTCTAAACGCTTATATCCTTCAGAATCAGTACTTACTATAGGGGCATACAATTGCTACAAACAACACATGTCATATCTAGGCATATACTGTACTTAAATAGCCAGATTCAATATTACTGTGCTTTATTATATTTTGAAAGTCCATGCTGTACATACTGTGTATAGTCATAGTGATATGCAATTACAATCCATTTTCACACTGTCTTGACTACCAGGGCCTATTTAAGAGCTTTTGGTCTATGCCGTAGCATTCTTTCTCCTAAAGCACTGCAGCTTACTCGATACACCACTGAACTATGTTTCTGAATCTTTATCTGGATGAGTACTCCTCAATGCCCCTAAAAGGAGCAAAGCGAGAAGAGGTGGTGGTGGCGCTGCAGCTTAGCGTTCTGCAGAGCCGTAGATAGAAAGAGTTGCGACATTGAGAATTTAGAAGCCATTTTGTGTCATACGCGATGCGCGTTCTGTGTCTAACGTGATGTGCGCTCCTGTGTATAATATTGTATAATACAGTTAGCGGCCTCCTGTATAGTTTAATTCCATTTAATCTTTTTCGCAGTCGCATTTCATGTAACTATTTTTATAGATTTTTTTTTAATGATTTCACTACTTTATATCCAATTTCATATTATATATACTGTAATAATTTACTATTTTTGAGCAGTTCTTTAATCCTCGCCGATAGACCGAGAGAGCCCTTCGATGGCAAGCATTCTTTAATTAGGCAATCCTGCCATATAGACCCTTAAGTAGCTCCTGTTATTTTTGCAAATAAATGATATGCAAGACCAGCAAAAATTAATTAAATATGTATATCAAAATGCAATTAAAATCCGTATATAGGGTATATAAATCTGTCTAGGGTATATAGATTGTTGCTCTTTAAATTAGAATATGAGCGAGCCCTATACAAATCTTATGTTATTAATTTGATTATTATTATTTATAAGTATTAAAATAGTATAGGTCAGTTGGCCGCAATATATAAATGTTATAAATTGTAAGTGTTAAATGATATACAAAATATGTGATATATTCAACTTGTGTAATTATGTAACGTACATTTTATTGTATTAAAAGTCTCGCCTCTATTTTAATATTGTATTATGGCTGTACAGTATGTTACTTTTATAAACACACTGCAAGAGCGTGTCCGCTGTTTTAAAAGCGTCGTTTCCAAAATAAAGTTATAATAATTATATAATAGTATGCAATAGAAACAGCAAATCATTTTTAAGGTTATTAAATATAACCTTTATTTTCATTGTCATTCGTATGTATACAGGCTGTACAAAGATTTGAAATTAAGAAGAACTATTTTCTAATATTGTTTAGCGAACAACCTTTAAAGATCGTCAGAAAAGGGCGGAAAAAAATTTTTTTTTTCTTATTTATCTTAAATATTTTTCCGAACGCATCTAGGCGA